CGAAAATATATTAAAAGCACGCATTGTCTGTGCTCATCATGATATGCAGACGCCTTATGTCTGTTGTTCATCCCGTAGACGAATTTACAATAAACGTCAGAATCACCCGAACGTTTGATGTAACGGTGCAATATGGCACTTCCTGAGTGACAGACCTCTTTGATGTCGGTCAGTGACGTAACGCAATAACCGTTGATAACAGTCCCTATTAATCAAATACATTGAAGTGTGTGTTTTGTATAATTTATAAGTATAACGGGGATAATATTGATATTTGATAGTCATGAAAACGTGTCCATATTGACATTTATATCTGTTAATACATTTAATTATGCAGTGCCATGTCTATAGCGAATGAATTACGCAATCGGAAATCTAAGACGCGGGGAGGGTTAAAGGACCCTAGGTCAAATCAACAGACTCGCATTCAGAACATAAAGCTTTCATCAATCATATGTTATTTTGACACTTGTATAATAAATTTACTCAATCAATCCTCATAAATTACCACCATTACGTGTGATGCATAAATCAATTATTTAATCAAATATCAATTTGAGTCATAATTTAAATGTTGTAAACAGCATTCAGACATAAATATGCACGAGTACATGGTACTGTATATAAATTCGTGTATTATATAACAGGTATTTGTTTATGCAACATGGAAAATATTGAAATGTTAACAAAATCTAAATTCAAATTCAAATTCGATAAGTAATATGATCAAAGATATGATTCAAATACAAACTCCTGAAAAAAGTGCATAGAGAATAAGACCATGTGTTCCGGAATAGTAAGCGCTTTGTGCTTCATCGACGACACCCACCGTGTAAATCTTGGTCAATTGAAGTAAGTAATGTCAGGTTCCCAAATGAGAACAAGGCATACAACAACGGAACTATGAGTCAAACTAACGAGCATCAAGCACGTGCAGCTTCAGATGATGAAGTACAAGACATGTGATACTGAAATAAGGAATACAACAGTTCTGTTAAATAAAAAAAAAACGTAGGTAAAGTGAAAACAAAAGCTGGATGTAGGCTTGTTGTGCGCAACGAGCGATGAGAGTCTGGATTTGATCACGGGAACAGGGACCGAGAACATGCGTCGTATGTTTTAGATACATAAATATTATTGTTTACAATGATATAAACAAATGAAGTACCAGTGAAATGTTCTCTTGCAATATTAAAAGTTAAAATATCGACCCCATACTGTAAATTAATGTCGTTATTAAACTATAACTTACATGATGCACTGTAGATCAGTAGACTTGGGATTTCGACCTTTATTTGGTAAGGTGGCTGGTAATTATTGTTTCTATAGCATGATCGTCTGTGGTCACTAAACTTGGGATCGTAATGTTTTCTCTTTCTAATGATTAAGACATATAATTGCTTTATCTCAACTCGTGCGATCCAAAGAGGTGACTAATGTGAGACCACGTATAGAACCATGGGATTTTTTACGTCACCTGCTATTATGACGTCATCGGTAATACAAACTTACTCTTTTAATGATTGTCATCTTTTGGATCATTTTCTCTTCACTTTTTTTCCCTCCATTTTATTTTTAAAAAAATCCGTTTTGCTCTTCAGGTAACTTTAACATTCAGCCTCTTGCTATACGTAAAATAATATTTAGCTTGTATCATTTTTACTTCCCAATTTGCGCCACATTTTACATATTCGTTAAAGTGTAATTTTCCTTTTGTTTCGTTTTTTATAACTTTGATTACATCAGGGTGCTATCAGATACTTAGAACGATGCACCAACACAAAGTTACATTGGCTACCAAAGACTCAGTCAAGTGTACCGGGTACTTCTGAATGGTCATTGAGCTCAAAATCGCCGATGTATGTGACTATGTAAACAGATTAATGTATCGGAGTGACCGGAAGTCTCAATGACCTAGTGGTCATGGCACTTGACCCAACCTGATAAATAGTGAAAATAGATTACCACAAGAGCTTGTATGTTCCAAAGTCGTTTATAGTGTAAAACGACACCAAAATATATATAATGAACCTGCCAGTCTGCCCCCATACCCAACAACTCGTTGTGTAACTTCTATTGAAGACTTTTCATCACTTAAGTTTTTCACGATATCGAAAAATCTTGACTAAATCTGTTTTCCCTTTCTGTCTTTCCTCACTTAAAGTTCTTGGCATCATTAACATGTCACAGAAAGACAAAACAACTATAAAGGTATGTTTATATCATACGTTAATATGTCAATCACCTAAGTCTTTAACGAAAAATTGAACCAAATATAAATCTAGAAATAAACTAGGTAAGCGTGCTGGCAAGTTGTACCAATATAGAGGAAATTTACACTAAAACAAATCTGATGCGAGATGTCAATGGTTACCAAATCTGTGGAGGACATTCACACAAACTACACATTTTCAAACGAGCTTTGGAAGTAAACTTCAGGCTGCATGACAAATCGAAAATACAGGTAACTAGGTAACTTCATTTAAACATGTATGGAAGTACAATGTTTTTACTGTAAACCCGATCTCAGCTAGTATCTTTTTATTCAACAAGTTTCCATAGGAATAGGTGTACTAGCAGTAAACATTCACATTTTTTAAATTGTTGTTAGAAATTCACAAGTCTGTGTGGATGGCTTCCATATTCAAGTTTATATCTAAGTATCATGTGTTCTCGTCTCAAAAGTTTATTACGATACTTTTTAAAATATCTTAATTGAAAAAAAATATGATTTTTGGCTTCAATATTGTTTATAAACCTTATTTGTACAGTTTCACGTCTCCAGAACCCCATGAAATAGCAAAAATGAAGCTAATTCGAGTGGTTAGGAAAGGTTTCGTCTTTCGTATAAGGAAGGTGTTTTTTTATAATATACGGTGTGGACATTACGTTGGTGTCGCGTCTAGAACCAAAGAAATAACAATATTTGTTGTCTGGCCTAAGTGTAAGGTGTTATTTATAAACTCCTGCAGTATCGCGTACATAGGACCCAAGAAACAGAAACATGGCTTCATGTGGCCTCTTACGATTCTGTTGTTTATAAACCTAATTTCGTACACTGTAGCGTCCGTAGAACCCCATGATCTAACTATATGGTTACATCACTCAATCCAAACCTTCCCGGGGGGACAATAACACCCCGAGTAACGTTTCACTTAATTCTTAACGCTCGCAAAGTCCTCCAGATCGGTTGAAAGAAGACGCCTTTCGGAGAGACTTGTCACACACGTGGCCCCACGAAATCACCCACCTCCCCTGGGCTGTAAATAATGAGTGGTTTCGGCGTTAACGTTTTCCTGAAACGACACCTTAGAAATATCGATTAAAATTTTGACATTAACTGTTTGATTCCCCGTCCAGTATATGTTGCTGTGCGCTGTATCCCGGATTAAATTTACCCTTACCGGTCTCCGTTTTTATACAATGAAAATTTTACAACAATACGAAAATCCTATATTTTTTCGTGTGTCAATACCGATGTCAGAAAACAACTTAAAATAACTACATGCATACGTAACTCCGTGTGATAGGTTAATTAGGGGTTGAGATATCGACGATAAATGAGAAATCATTACGACATGTTTAATACCGCCATACCCCTATAAAGTGTTAGGAATATATACGGCATGAAACACTACATAATCGCCAAGGCCCTTCATGAATGTCGTTTGCATTTTTTGTGTTATCACAATTTCTTTCTTTTTAGACGATACATTTATCTTAACGTATTTAATGACCCTGTTGAGGGTATGAATGTTGCGCAGTTTAAAAAACATGCTGGTACTGACAAACCAACATTTTAATCTATAATGTCACGTGTAGCGTTCCTTTTCCGGAAGTGACGTATTGATAGTGTTGCCTTGACATCTATTTCATTATCTAAATATGATTATAAGAAAAGACAATATTACATTTGATATCTCATCATTATAATTCGTAAGAATTTTATTGTTCTTTATACATGAAAAATGTTACTTCAAATTTTATCATTATGACAACTTCGGAAATACGATACAACAGAATATTGAGTAAGAAACACACGACATTTAGTATCAGTCATAAACTTCATATTTCAGACAGAAAAATCTGCATGTAAACAAAACGAAAACCAAATTGATTAGGTAAGTAAAATGTAACTTATATCATCACATTAAATTCAGTTATCTTCAGAAATTGTATTTTTAGATACATTTGTGATGTCATATCGGCACCACAGAAATACTTACCAATGAGATACAAGATACGATTTAAAAAGGCAATGACGACAATGACGAAATTAAGCATTGGAGATACAACAATCTGTTACGCTTCATAACCACCTTCATTTCCGGGATTTCTCTGCCTCTCTCGAGCTGAACATGGTCATTAGATACGGGTATCACGTGATGTTACGGGACAATTGTATTTCCGGTAATCAGTGATACTTGAGATAAAAATGACATGCCAACACTATAGTGTAATTTCTTGTTATAAATCGATTTTTAAATCTTACATTTCTTCTCATTTCCGTAGAAACAAGAAACATATAAACAGTTGTAAGGATCACTGGAGGATTCTACGTAAGGAACAGTTAACGTCACTCCTATCTCCTGGAAGGAATCACTAATAACTCCAAGCAATATCAGGTCTGACGTCATTACCGTGTAAAACAACGGCGAGAAGATCAATGGAATAAGTTACATCAGACAAAAAAGTCACGTGATCACATCTCAGAATAAGTGTCCGAGACCAAAAGAATTATTGACATTATGACGATGACTTGACCTATAGACATATAACACTCTCTGTTAAAGAATCCAATGTAGCTGTAAAAAGACCTCACATTCCGAGTTAGGATACGTCGCTCGGTGTTCCAAACTGAGTATCGTAGGCTACAAAATGATATGGTGCAAACCTACAAAATTCTTGAGAGCATAGCCAATGTGAACCTACTGCTAACTATGTCCTAAAAATCCAGGATAAGAGGTACCATGTCCTAAAAATCAGGAATAAGAGGTACCATGTCCCAGAAACCCAGCACAAGAGGGACAATATTCCAGGAATCTAGGAGAAGAGGGACCATGCCCCAAGAATCCAGAACAACAGGGACCATGTCCCGGGAATCCAGGACAAGAGGAACCATGTCCCAGGAATCCATGACAAGGCACCATGTCCCAGGAATTCAGGACAAGAAGTACCATGTCCCAGAAATCCAGGACAAGAAGAACTATGTCCCAGGAATTCAGGACAAGGCGAACCATGTCCCAGGAATCCAGGAAAAGAGGTACCATGTCCCAGGAATTCCGGACAAGAAGAACCATGTCACAGGAATCCAGGACAAGAGGAACCATGTCCCAGGAAACCATCCAGGACAAGAGGGACCATATCCCAAGAACCAACAGCAACGTGGACCATGCAACAGGAATTCAGGAAAAGAGGAACCATGTCCCAGGAATTCAGGACAAGAAGAACCATGTCCCAGGAATTCAGGAAAAGAGGAACCATGTCCCAGGAATTCAGGACAAAAGGAAACATGTCCTTGGAATCTAGAACAAGAAGAACTATGTCCCAGGAATTCAGGACAAGAGGAACCATGTCAAAGGAATTCAGGACAAAAGGAAACATGTCCCATGAATTCAGGACAAGAAGAACCATCTCCCAAGAAACCACTACAAGAGGTACCAATTCCATCGACAAGAGGAGCCATGTCCGAGAAATACAGGACAAGATGGACCATATCCTAAGAACCCAGAGCAATAAAGACTATGTTCCAGGAATCTTGGACAAGAGGAACCACGTCCCAGAAATCCAGAACAAGAGGAACCATGTCCCAGGAAACCACTAAAAGAGGTACCAGTACCATATCCCAGTAATTCTGGACAAGAGGAACCATGTCCGAGGGATCCAGGACAAGAAGAAACACGTCCTAGGAAACCACTACAAGAGGTACCATATCCCAGTAATCCTGGACAAGGGGAGCCATATCCGAGAATTACAGGACTAGAGGGACCATATACCAAGAACCAAGAGAAACAAGGACTATGTCCCAGGAAACCACTACAAGAGGTATCATATCCCAGTATTCATTGACAAGAGGAGCCATGTCCGAGAATTACAGACAAGAGGGACCATATCCCAAGAACCAACAACAAGAAGGACCATGTCCCAGGAATCCTGGACAAGAAGAACCATGTCCCAGAAATCCAGGACAATAGAAACCATATCCCAGGAATTCAGGACAAGAGGAACCGTGTCAAAGGAATCCAGGACAAGAGATACCATGTCCCAGGAAACCAGAACAAGAGGAACCATATCCCAGGAATTCAGGACAAGAAGAACCATGTCCCAGGAATCCAGGACAAAACATACCAGTGTTCGAGGACAAGTGGAATTACCTTATCGAAAATCTGGTAACAGTTGACCACACAAACAGGTGTCAACACTATGTGTACCATCAAATGTGGCAGTTAAATACCATACATCTTACTGTCTTATATATTAATATTATGCATTCCAAATCGGATATCGCCCCTATTTACGAAAAGTTAAGGCCCCTCAAAAAAGATATTAGAAATGTTTCGTCTAAATACTTGACAAGAAAATGTATTTTAAACATTACTTCTATCTACCCAAGTGGGGTCAAAGTAAAGCTACCGTTTAAACAAATCGAGTCCTCTTCACCCAAGCATGCTTTACACTAATACTGTATGGACACAATCTTGATATTCCTTCTAAAAGAAGAATTTTAAAGAATTTGCTATTTATCCCTTTTTAAGACCAGCTCCTGAGGCCAAAAGTGGCCAAGACCCAACATTTACACAAAATCGGTTCCACCTCCCCCATGTATACTTCTGGCTAAATTTGTTAAAAATACCTTCACAAAAACAAAAGGATTCAAGGCGATGCCACTATTTCCCTTAGTGGGACCCGTACCTCTGCCGCCAGAGGGCCGTTGAGAACTTTCCATTTTTTTAATAGTAACTGTTGAAGATTTTCTTTACAATATCACGATTTCCATCCAGCATCCATTCTTCGCCTCTTTAAATTATTGTTACTTTTCAAATTTGACGGATTTGGTAATACTTTTTTCAGATGTTGGTCAACGGTCAGTAAATGTTCTCATTGTCCATAGTGACCACATTTAAACAACAGGTCTTTAAAAGCATGCTATGGTACTTGCTAGCTTCATTGTAGCTGAGTTTTAAAGGAGAGCTGTTAATTGTTCTTCATGGTTTGTAACAAGACCATTATCTTAGGGTTAATAAATGCAACTGCAAATATGTCATTTGTTCTACTGCACTCTCATAAATATTATATCGTAAGGTATAGAATAAATTAAACGCTAATACAATATGAGGACGCTGGCGTCATTTGTCAACTAAAAGGGCATATCTCTTTTAGATATCAAACGATGTTTTCTAAAAACTATTACTTCTAAACTACGCTCAATAAATCACATTTTGGCTTTATTTTTTCGTTATATCACAGCCGATCATACGTGGACAAACAATGTGCCAAATGCACAGTGAAAACAAAACCTGTGATCTCGTTCGGCAGGCCAACAGTCTAGAAAGCGTCGGGTCATGACCTCGTTCAAGTACTTGAGACGGATGGCTTCAACTGGGTCCGTATACAAAGAGCTTTGAATAACATTTTACCCCATCTCAGAGTGGAAGCTTATCAGCGACACTGACTCGGCGCCCAGTAGCGAGTTCTAACTATCTACCTTCCAATCCACTCTAGTGCTTCCTACTTATCCTTCATGGCACGTGGTGGTCTCGTGCCAGGGCACGCGGTACCTGCAAACAATACCCGCAAGTCCTGTTTGGTTAGGCCCTGATAAGTTGCTCTATTACACAATGCTAGTTTAATGTCTTTCTCTTTACACTGCAATAAAGTTTTTAAAAGTCTGCTAGCTAATTTTATGAGGATATTAAACAACAACATGCAAACATGTAGAAGAAAATGAAGAAATCAAAAGGAGAAAACAGCTTCATTAGTCTTTCTCTTCCGAACAAAAGGGATCCCCCCACACTACGAAGGCTTTAGTAGCATTTAGCAAAAAGAGACAAATATTGGATTTTAATGGTGATGCGACGAATACCGATATTAACGGTTAAGTTTATAATTTTATATTTTGAGAAAAAATTCGGATATGAAAGCTGATTTGGAACAACTGTATTTCATTTAATACCAATATGACGCAAAGCTATTATGAAGTCAAAAAATACTGTGTACTGAAAAATAGCTTTTTCTGGTATGAAATTTTTTTATCCTCGGTGTTAGTTTTCATGCGGACGGACGTGAACGTACCGCCGCCGTCCGTGCGTCCGACTAACCTTATAACATACTGGAGCCGCGTTTTCTTTAGCCCGTGATTCAATTCTATCTGAAAATCCTACCCTATTTTTCTGTATAACGATACCAAAATCGGACTTTTCATGGTCTCAGAAAACACTTCTCATTCTCAGGGCATCTGTTCTTCGTCACCTAGCTTGTTTATTGAATTTGTTTATCAATATATCCCCCGAGAAACGTGTGTAACGCAGGCCCTTAACACAATTTGAGCAGGTGAAGGACCGTTATCGAATCAATGCCTTGGGCCTTTAAGATATCTACTGATGCTTATTCATATGTAGTGCAATGATCATTCAAATGTCTTGCTATCGGATTAGTTTCATCTCTTGATTATAAGCTGTAAACTGTCCAGATGATATCATTTAAATGATATCAAATTAATACAAAAGTTAACACATTCATTATCATGATTTCTTAATTCTTTGCAAAGTTTTGATTTTCAAATAAAATACGGGTGTTAGAAAATGTGAACATCGCCTCGAGTTAGAATATAATCGATAAGATAAAAATCACAAAAATTCAAAAAGTCTTGGTAAAATATACCCCATCCCCAAAACACACACATACACCCTTCCACGCACATGCACTCACACACACACACGCACACGCACACACACACACTCACACTCACACGTACACACACCCTCACACGTACACACACACACACACACAACCTTACACACACACACACACACACACACCCTCACACACACACACACGTACACGCACACACACGTATACACACCCTTACACGTACACACATACACACACACACCCTTACACACACACTTACACACACCCTCACACACACGTACATGCACACACACGTACACACACTCGTATACACACCCTTACATGTACACACACACACACACCCTTACACACACACTTACACACACCCTCACACACACGTACACGCACACACACGTACTCACACACGTATACACACCCTTACATGTACACACACACACACACCCTTACACACGCCATTTCAATAATGACGTCATTTTGAGTCATATGTCATGTTGATATCGCCAATGATTAAGAACGTGCTTCTTTGATCGGCTTCATACAAAAGAGAATCCGGACAGATCTCCTTTTTCAACATTATAAAGTAACTATCATCGTGAAAATTAACATGAATGGGAACATTTTTTTTATTATTAACAAACTTATCATATAGCTATAAACTCTAATAAACCCAACTCAGATTCAACAAGTCGTTTTCTTGTTTTCCTTTACATCAGAAAATTATCATTTCTTAATTACAACCCAAATAAATTAAACATTTGAAAGACTATTCTTAATGGTGCATGTAATGTATGGCCTATTTTTTTCAGTTAGAGCTTTCATATTTTATAACAATACAGTAACGCTTGGCTATACTTAAAATGACTTCAAAGAGTTTGAAAGAACAAAATCAAACTTTTATGTGAAGGAAAGAACACACACAAAATATTTAAAATGAGGACCGCGTGTTCAAATGCACTTTTCAAAACACACATGCACTTTACAGCTTTTTAATGAACTTTCAAAAACAAAACATATTCAAACCTGTTTTAATATCAGAATCCAACAACCGTACGTGAAGACTATGAAATTGTAATGAGTGAAATATTATGTGAATGCACACGGGAACATTTAGATTGGGATTTTTTTCTGCAGTGATTGAATCCGAATCATTTAAAATTTTCTCATTTTCATTTCAATTAGAAAAAAAGAATGCATACTTCACAGACCGAAACTCGGAAATTGCAGGTTCGTTCACCCCAAGAACTAAAGAACAAGAAAAAGCATAGAAGTGATAGTTGTCTCTATCTGTGACCGGGCCAAGTGCTTAAATGGAAAGATTTGTACGAAAGAAATCAAAACGATCTCGTCGGTTTCAGTTCGATGTCTTCTTTTTAATTGTAAGGTATTTCAATATTTGAAAAAGGGAAAAATCAATGAGATTAACTAAGCTGTGCTGTACTGTCCCGTTTTTCAAACAAATACCGCTCTATGTTGTATGTAATGTCGTTACACACTGACAGCTCAAATCGTGGCATAGCCATTAGATTGTACAATATGGCGTTCACCTTCCAAAAAAAATCATCGATGTGAATAATTTTTTTCATCGATGATTAATTCACATTTCTAAAAGCATCACCAGTACCACATATTGGTGCTATGAATGCCGGTTTTATTATTAATGTCGAATCAACATTGCCTCAATACACTTGAAATGATGACGATAATCACAAGCACAGAATTTGTGACGACGTACGCAACAGTGTCATATCGCGAAGGGTTGTAGAAAGTTTGGTTTATGGGAGACACCGTGAAGGAGGGGAAAAGATATTGTCCGGCCAAAGGGAAAAGGGAGTCTTGAAAGTTATCAAAAAAGAGCATTAGTGAGGATGTTTGATGGTAGGGGAAGGCAAGGAGAAGATACAATGCTTATAAAAACACATTGATGGATAATAAACATATCTATATAAGGACTTATCTAAGAGTTTGATATTTTGTCGGTTTTTCAGTATATCAAGCAAGTTTTGGTAATGCCCCCAAAGATTGTTCTAATAACCCTAACGATAGACAGATTCATACAAGATCGGCGGTCATTTCTAAAATGTTTTGGTAACTGTGATTGTTCGATGAGACCACGTACAGACAATCAATGACTTTAACACTTAAGTTTGTGTAAAGGTGAATGGAATTTCTTGTTTTTATAAAGAAATCGGTCTCGACTAAGACAAAATCCGCAAAGAGACAGTCGAGTCTAAAAGAGAAGAAAGAAGCGATCAAGGGTTGAAAAGGGAGGTTGTGTGGTTGAAGGAAAAAGAAGATGGAGACCGAGAATGGATATGAACAGGAAAAATGTTTAACGACAACGGCGAGGAGGAGGAGAGGAGGAGGAGAAAGAGTGGAGGAGAAAGAAGAGGAGGGGGAGGAAGAGGGGGAGGAAGAGGGGGAGGGGAAGGAGGAGGAGAAAGAGGAGGAGGAGGAAGAGGAGGTGGAGAAGGAGAGGAAGGAGGAGGGGAAGCAGGAGGGGAAGGAGGAGGAGAGGAGGTGGAGATGAGGAGGAGGAGAGGAGGGGAAGGAGGAACAGGAGAGGAGGTGGAGATGAGGAGGAGGAGGAGAGGAGGGGAAGGAGGAGGGGAAGGAGGAGGAGAGGAGGAGGAGATCACGGAGGAGGAGGGAAAGGAGGAACAGGGGAGGAGGTGGAGAAGGAGGAGATGATGATGATGATGAGGAGGAGGAGGAGGAGGAGGAGGAGGAGGAGGAGGAGGAGAGGAGGAGGAGAAAGAAGAATTTTAATCAAACAAACGTCAGTTAAACGATGTAGCATAAAATGCAACAGCAATGGAACGAAAGCGATAAAACGATGACGATGAAGGAGCGATACAAAACTCCCTCACTCGTCGTCTTTTTCCTCAGCATGTCTTTCCCTCGCCGTAACATCTCGCAATCGGTTGAAAGGGACAATATAAGATATTTATTAGCCCTAGTCGCCCAGCTTCACGGCGTTGTTAAATGAAATACAGGAAAAGAAACAGTATTTTTTATCTATCGACTGACTGATGATGAGACTTGAAAGATCTAACGATGACGAGTAATGTTGTTTCTTTGAAGGAGATGGTAAACTAAAGAAGAGACGCGTCTGCAACAGAGTATTGATTGATACATCTTTTATAGTAAACAACCACTCGCTATCATTTCCCCCACAAACTGCTGGTCTCAATTCCATTGTTGACGCCAGAGACTCACGTGTTTGTCACACCTATAAAATCTGTTCTGTTTAGAAGGCCTGTTAAACACCAGAAAGATACGGAAACGAGACTCCAAAGATAACATATGGCTGCATAGAACCAGAATAAAAAACATTGTGGTTGAATTTTTACCCTCAATTAAGTGTTAAAACACATCAAGGAAGTTTTTATCGGTCAACCGAGGTTCAACCAACTGTAACACGAGTAGCTTCTGTCAGCATAATGTGAAAAATATTAATCATTTTTATGATCTATCTAGAGTTTGTTTTTTTAAATTTTTTAATCAACACAACTCAATAAGATAGATTTTAGGCATGTTTTAGTTTCGAAATAATCAATTAAATAAATTATAAAATTCCAAGCTCCGTCAGTGAACGCTTAAAATTCCCGAAAAGAAACCTCGAATTTCGGTCACTTTATTACTCTTCCTATTCCGGTTATACGTTAAGAAGAACAATTTGACTACACGTAGCTCATCATATTCTATAAATCAGAAGCTGAGCAAGACGTTTTACCCTCAATGCTCTTGATGGCATATAAACGGGCCTCCCGTATGTTGTTCAATCAGGTAACCACCAGCTACTACAACGAGATCCTACCTCCTGAAGACCCGGACTTTTTAGACGATAACCCAAGCAAACAAACAGACTGACAAACAGACAAGTTTGTAAAGCAATACGACAACAGCAAAGCAGAAAGCGTTCTCTCTCTCTCTCTCTCTCTCTCTCTCTCTCTCTCTCTCTCTCTCTCTCTCTCTCTCTCTCTCTCTCTCTCTCTCTCTCTCTCTCTCTCTCTCTCTCTCTCTCTCTCTCTCTCTCTCTCTCTCTCTCTCTCTCTCTCTCCATGTTAAACAACTGCCATAGTTTACATTTATACATAGCACAGGGGCCCTTCTGTTTGGTTATTGGTTTGACGTACATGCACTTTTTTGCATAAAACATCATTAGATAGTTAAAATGGTTACAACATCAAATGACGTACCTCTAAGTTTGTCATAGTGATATTATTTTGATAATGATGTAGATCTCTGAGATGATATTTCTGTTCAAAACAATATAGGTCTTTACTCATCTAGACTTTAGTCTTTATATTCTCATGTCCCTGTGTTATACAATAGTATCTCTGGCTCGGATCTCAAGCCGACAGTAATCAAATTGTGATAATGATATCGATGTAAGGAGGTACTTAAGTACACATGCACTTACCCAGTACCTGGTTATCTCCCTGTGATTCTATTAGTTAATACTGACCTTGAGCAGATACCGCGGGCGCTCTGCCGACTCAAATAAAACACAAGAGTTAAATTTACAGTTATTAACGGTCACTGAACTATATTTGAATTTCAACTGACAATAAGAAAATATCAAAGCAAATGGGAAATGAAAGAATGATCTTAATCACATCTATTAATTTAAAGAAATTCAGAGTTCAATTAGGTTAGATTTATTGGATTTCGGAATTAAGAAGCTTTTATGATATATGCCAGAAGTTCTATATTAAGAACGGCTATACAGACACACCTTTACATTAAAACCTTTACAACCCCTGCCGAGACAGATACGAACCTCTACATTACGAACGGCTATACAGACACACCTTTACATTAAAACCTTTACAACCCCTGCCGAGACAGATACGAACCTCTACATTACGAACGGCTATACAGACACACTTTTACATTAAAACCTTTACAACCCCTGCCGAGACGAACCTCTACATTACGAACGGCTATACAGACACACTTTTACATTAAAACCTTTACAACCCCTGCCGAGACAGATAAGAACCTCTACATTACGAACGGCTATACAGACACACCTTTACATTAAAACCTTTACAACCCCTGCCGAGACAGATACGAACCTCTACATTACGAACGGCTATACAGACACACCTTTGCATTAAAACCTTTACAACCCCTGCCGAGACAGATACGAACCTCTACATTACGAACGGCTATACAGACACACCTTTACATTAAAACCTTTACAACCCCTGCCGAGACAGATAAGAACCTCTACATTACGAACGGCTATACAGACACACCTTTGCATTAAAACCTTTACAACCTCTGCCGAGACAGATACGAACCTCTACATTACGAACGGCTATACAGACACACCTTTACATTAAAACCTTTACAACCCCTGCCGAGACAGATACGAACCTCTACATTACGAACGGCTATACAGACACACCTTTACATTAAAACCTTTACAACCCCTGCCGAGACAGATACGAACCACTACATAACGAACGGCTATACAGACACACCTTTACATTAAAACCTTTACAACCCCGAGACCGAACCTCTACATTACGAACGGCTATACGAACCTCTACATTACGAACGGCTATACAGACACACCTTTACATTAAAACCTTTACAACCCCTGCCGAGACAGATACGAACCTCTACATTACGAACGGCTATACAGACACACCTTTACATTAAAACCTTTACACACATTAAAACCTTTACAACCCCTGCCGAGACAGATACGAACCTCTACATTACGAACGGCTATACAGACACACCTTTACATTAAAACCTTTACAACCCCTGCCGAGACAGATACGAACCTCTACATTACGAACGGCTATACAGACACACCTTTACATTAAAACCTTTACAACCCCTGCCGAGACAGATACGAACCTCTATAGTCCGGTAAAATATATAGCCACATAAGTACAGCCCACATCATGTTATATTAGAACCTCTACACTTCGGACAGTTAGTCATAGATTTAGTGATAGTTGAGACACTTTAAAGCCAGACTAGTGACCCGTACAAATAGGAAAAAAGAAAAGTGTATTATATATACATAAACTTAAAACATGACCTTATGACCTCAGGTAACAAAGGGTCGTCGGCAGTAAAAGGGATTTTTATCAGGATCATCTACAATGATAACTTGTAAAGCATTTAGTTTATATGACCAAATATCAAAGAAACAGATTTATTATGTTAAAATTCTAATCTGTATTTAGTTTACCAGCTTAGAGTACATACTATAAAATACGGCACAAGATAGATATCACCGATTGACTTATTATGGAAAGTGATTCGGCATACAGTTTACCAGCCGAGAGTACATACTACAAAATACGCCACTGGCAATATATAACTGATTGACTTCTTATAGAAAGTGATTCGGCCTACAGAATTGTAATATACGAACAGAAGAATGATATAGGTGGGGGAGGAGGGAGGTATGGGGAGGGGTTATTCTCATAAAAGTGTAATTTTCATTATCATTTTACATACCTTTCATATTTGTTCTTATGTACATTTCGTAATTCAAACAGGGTGATCGGATGACGCAGCGGTAACGCGCTCGCCCTCCACCAACGTGTCCGGGGTTCGATTCTCCGAACGGACCTGTAAAGTTATGGGGTCACCTGTCCGAATACGTGGAAACTCCCCGTTTCCTCCCACAATAAGGCCCCGGCGCTTCCTTCCGGGCCAAAAACCGTGATTACATAAGTTGTGTCACAGTTGTAAAATAAACCAACTTGACTATCTACAGAAAGCCGTTTGTATGACGGGTTTGATTTCAGTATGCAGATATTGGAAAACAGATCAAATTCGTGTAATGTTACCGGGAATGGTGATGAAGTGTGATTTTTTAGTGATGATGGAGATAGTCGTTTATTGAAGTGGTTTCACTCGTGTAAAATTTGTTATTTTACATTGTGATGAAATGAGATGGTAGTTTTAGTCAACCCGTTACCAACACAACCGTATCAGAGAATCTGCCTTCCCGTCTGTTAGGCTAGGTTAAATGAGGAGGGTGAGAGGCACTTCAGACAATTTAGATGGTTTTTTATAGTCCACAGATAGATTTTAATTTCAATTTGATGTATTATGTTGAGAAAAAAAAGAAACATTCAAATGAAAACACGTGATACTCTCTGCCGTCTTCACCGTGTTGTCGCTGAGAAAAATCCTTGTAGAAGCGTTTATCAGTGGAATCAAACGAGACAGACACGGCTTATTAACATAAAATGTTTGCAAGAAAAATTTGATATCTGGTTCAAGAATCGAAATAATTAGAATGGTAATGAATAATGAAAATCAATTATGAAATTCCAATCAATTTCTCATTTGTTCGAGTTTTGAAGAGAATCGGAATTATTGGACGTCCCATCTATCATAACAAGCAAAAGACCGACGTTATCAGCGGGGAGGACCGGATGTTGGCAATCATCTTTAAAGTTAAACAGTATTTCATTTAAGTCTTGGTGAAAGTACCTGCCGATTAGCGGAGGATATCCATCATCAGGGACAACTAGCCAGGACGACGTTTGTACCAATGAAACTGTCGATTTATCGCCAACAATGAAGGTTTGAATATTTTAATTAAAACTTAAATGTTTACAGTGTGTAAGCGTACCTAACACAGAATCTCGTTAATTCGGAGTTCAATACAACGACATTTCGTAAGAACGGATCTTGGCAAAACG